ATTAAAGTATAGCCACAATGTTTTATGTTTTTTTATTGAGTAAATACTGAAAATGTCTCAAAAATATAGATTATTTTATAATATAAAATCAATGCAATAAGTATTACCAACGCTTAAAAGCAGAGTCTTTATAAAGAAAATTAGACACCATTTTTATAATTATTCGGCAATATTACAAAAAAGAAAAAAGCAAAATAAATAAGTTAATAAGAAAGTTAAGTTGTTTCAAAAACATAAGTTCTTTTATGATTTATCATACAAAACTATTTTCCCTTTATGTTTTATTTTAAATAGATATTTTTATCAAAGTAAATAAATTAGAATAAAAATGAACCGGTACGTACACGTACTGTTAGAGGTACAGAAGTCTTCTCAAAATGAGCTCTTGAAATTTCCGGTTCTTATCTTGTTACGGAGACAGAGAAAGACAAACAAACAAATACACTAACCTAATCTAAATAGTTTAAGTAAACCAATAAAATAAATTCTATGTTTAATAATAATTTTTATTATTCATACATTCAATTTTACGCCACAAAGTATGAAATTGATAGAAATAAAATATAAATATTTTCTGTATGACACTCATAGGTTGTAGTTGTACCTCGCGTATAAAGAGCTCAGTACATCACAAATATCAATATTTAAGTGTAACTCACACTCGTACGGTTATACCAAATCACAGTTAGTTTTCCTTGTATCGAACAAAAAAGTAAAGATTCTGAATTTATTTATTAATATACGGATTGTCAAATTAATTTATATTTAATATAATATTGTGTTGTGTTTATGGAGAAAATAACATGACGCAATTCATTTATAGTAGCTGATTTGACGTATTTCAAATACCTTTAATATTACGCCCTGTTTAAATCGCCAAATAATCCAAGACATTTAAGTTTTTCTCTCCTAAGTTCGTAACGAAAACCATTAAAGTAGATATATCAATGAAAACTGTAAACTGAGTTCAGTTTAACTAAGTCAACTCATTGCAAAACATATTGGTGATCACTCCTGACAGAAGGTATGACGTCATCAACATTTAATATATATTTTTTATCTGTCCGTCCGTATGCAGGTTGTTTAACATGATTTTTAATTTATCTGTGGCCTGTGTTGATGGACAGCGCCATTATAACTTTATGATTAAGCTAAGCTTCGTTTTATTTGGAAGGAGATTTTGTTAGAAACATTTTGGTAACTTTGAGGAATATCTGTTATACTCCTGTGGTTCATTAGGTATATTCTTTATAAAGAAAATAATGAGGTTATATATTATAATAGTTGAATAGGATTTCATTGGCCCGTGAAATACACGAGCGTTTTATATTGAAAAAGAACTTGGTTTTATTTCAATCTAACGCTGAATATTCTATTCGGTCCATTTCCTGCTCGTCTAGTTACAGCAATACTATCTTGTTTAAGTCTAGACTGTTCCATCAGTCTGGGTATCATGGCTTTGAAAGTAAGGAAAAAATATATGTCGGAAATTGTTCGTATTACCCAAAAACAGCTTGTCCTCATCACCCTTGACGATGTTTATAAACTTTACCATAAACGGTAAAGCCGTTGGGGAAATATAAAACTTTCTCATTTATAATAGTAACAATTAAAATAGTTGATCAGTTTCACTTATTAACAAGTTCAAGTCTTGATGTAAAATAGTGATATTAATTATTAAGTATTGAATATCTTGTTAATATATTATAACATTATATAATTTCATACTCAAAAAATGTAACATTTCCCATTTGTTTGTATAACGCATTACGTGAGTCGCGGCGTTCGTGAATTCTTAGTTGCAAATACTTATAAAGACTGGTCGTTTATGTAATACTTGGTTAATAGCTAGGTCTTCTTGTTAGCGGTTAGTACAGTATTCATGTACTATTAAATATTAATATAACGATATTTCTATTGGTGCTTTTAAATTTAATATTGTTGTAAAATTATTTTGTTTAAAGATTTCTAATTCCACCAAAAGATGGCGGTAGTTCTAAAATATGTCAAGAATCAAACAGCTGTAACTTTCACTAAATCGTATTAGCGACATGTTGACCACATTTATTTTATATGTAAAAAAATGTGGAAGTAATAAAACAAATATTTGTCTTTTCTTTTAAATTTATTTATCTAATTTACTAAATTTCCAAAAATAGTACTAACCAGAGCACTTTATTTCAAATGTTTACTATGAAACAAACTGTTCCTAAATAACTAACAATTTCCTCTCATTTTTATAAAGGTCACATCTTTTTCCACTTATTTATCACTCCGACCTTTTATAATCGTATGACATTTAAAAACTCAAAAGCTCAAGTGCATGTATTTTATTAATTATGATAAAAAAAGGTAATAAAACAACCATAGACATGTTTAAAATCATTTAATCATTTCTTAGTCTAGGACAGGAAACATTTATAAAATAGCTAATCACGATAATATAATAACACTTACATTAATAATTGTTTCAAACGGAATCCATCGCCCCTTCTATGGAGACTACTAACAAAGCACTATACATAAGGCGGTATTAAAAACTAATGCTCGTATCTCGAAATTATTTTTAAACAAAGCCGTTGTATACACAAGTTACAAAAATAATCCTCAGCTCGCCAATGTATTTATTTCTGCTAACGACTTTAAATTTCTTCACTCCGCTTTAAGTCGGCTCATTAACCTCTGATAATACGCTACATGTTCTGTCATAATGACGCGGGAATCACAGATTAAATACATCATATAGATTAATTAAAACCGTAAGGGCAACACATCTAATTGTACGATTTTTTGTGTACAATTTGATAAATTATACTCGTTATTTATTATAACAATCCAAGAAGTGGAACAAGGTGAACTAGTGAAGCATTAATTCGGGTATGAAAAATTAAACACAGCGTTGTATTCTTTTGGTATTTTAATTAGAAAACAAACATTTTATTCATTTGAGACAAAGCCCGTAGCCCGGAGTCGGAATGGCCGTACAATTTGCGATTATTGTTATTCCCAAGTGCGTGACTAACATTTTTAGTATTAAAATCGTTTATAATGATTTGAGTGTTAGTCATCAGAGTCGAGTTACCGGAATGAAGTTGGTAGGTGGTAGGAGGATCCACAATAATGACGGCTTTGTGTTATACAGGCTTTTTGTGACTTGTGAGAAAGGATTATCGAATTATGTATTAAATTATACGATTGTTCGAGTTATATTTATATTTACATAATAAATAAAATAAGAATCCATCCAAATCTGAAAAGGAATAAAACAAGGAAGAAATCTAAAAATTGATTAAGTACGAACATTTTTTTATTTTTTATCAAAAAAAAATTATATTTCCAACAATATTTCGACCTTATCATTGTGCTATGAATTATAAACATTTACGAAATCATAAAATGATATATTTAATTGTACTATTCATAAACAGTATTCTCTATTACTCGGGACTTCTTGGCGCCCGAGAATGAATAAAGGGGCGATCTTAACATTTATGTATATTGACATAATTTTTCTGTATATCGTGAAATTATAATCTAGTTATACATGTGCGTTAAGTTTTAATCGAGATACATCTGAACAAAAATTGTTCCAGCAGGCATAGTATCAACCGTCTTTTTGAATACTTTATTTCTTTGTTGCCGTTTATCACATTGCAACCTTTCGAGATGGCACTTGATTGTTCCGTAAAGGATATTTAAATGATTCAAAAGTTAATATTATGTATAATAATCTGGAGACAGTTAATTCTAAGCCTGCTGTTGCGGGGATATATTCAGGAAGGCAGTCAGGTCTCGCAATTGCACTATATTCGTCCCACTCTTTCATTTAATTGTTTCCGTTGGTTGAAAAGGGGTGCAACATCGCTTGTAAAAATGTTACCGACCAACTTCCTCAACATTTCTATTCCCATAGGTCCCATTATTATTTATTCTTCATGATCGAACATCGGAATCATTCCGTGCATGTTTCACAAGCCGCTTAACATTTATAATACATCCTTATACATACAAACTCCATACAAAACAAATCAAACTACATCCATTATAATACAGTGACGAAAACATCTAAACGAACTACCGCCGGGTATACGACTCCAAAAACCGGTTAATCCGTATAAAATGGCCGACATATATATATAGGAAAGGAATCAATTTTTCTTAAGCGTTCACTATACAGCATTAGATCCAAAAAAAGTCGGATGAAAAACTAGCACAAATACAAATACGACATAGAGGCTAGGCTAATATCACAGGAGGTGCTGGGAACGGTTCGCCCTACTCCTCCCCCCTCTCCTACACTCAACCCCCCCTCCCGTCTCTCCCTCGCTCCTCAAGGTACCTATTTACTATTCAGAAGGGGCGAAACGGGCTACTCCCGATATGTTTTGCGCCAATTAAGATTTCAGTAAAATAACTCGGCTACCTCAATCCCGAGATAAAACCGAATCTGATTGCACAACCGAATTAAACATACCGTTACATTAGAACGAAATCATTCAACTAAAATAAATTATCAACGACACACTTGTATACGTAGTACGTACACAGTACGGGCCGATTGCGAGTAACATAAGTACGTAACGATCGAATAATAAACCAATCATATATCATATTGGTAACAAAGCGTAAATTGTGAGATAAGGTAACATAAGAAACAATATATACAAATTATAAAAATAGTATAATAACAGGCGCTGTAAATATCAGACTTATTAAAATGTTCGCTGGGCCGGCGACGCCGAGCCAACGCTAGTCAACATTGGGCCAACGTTGGCCTTGTGGCCGCCATCTACACGAGTAAGGTCACATGCACACGCTCGTCTGATCGGACACACGTCATCACTTATGAGGTTTTTGTTTCGTTACAGTCTGTAACACGGCGTGCGACACACGTACATACATACACTACAGCGGAGAGTGCCGTCTGCTGGGCGAGCTGTAACAGTCGTTCGCTCGGCTTTTACTTTCAAATTTTATCGGCAGCGAAACTCGCAATGAACCTACTCGTTGTCTCCTCGGGTGGAGAACGCCAACTGCGACGTAACGTCCGAGGCGTGACGCACAACTATTACGTGTCCCGTTAAACTATACTCACATCCGCGACACCGTTCCCAGTTATTTTGCACTATACCTTAATCACGAATTCATTTAATTAATTATTATTTATAGTACAATAATGCAATTACGATTATGTCTTAACACTACTCCGACGTCCCCGCTAGCTATCTGAGCGCGGTCTTCGGTGACGTCATCATCATCATCATCATCACGACACAGGTCTCCCCGGCCGGCCGCTGGACCGCAGCGCCGCCTGAGCAACTTTCACTAAATAATAAAACACGCTAACAAAGTAAGTAGTTAAAGAACGTATCGTGTGTGTTGTGAGGCGGTCGTGTGTGTGTGGGGCGGGCGGTCCGGGCGAGCTGGTTCAGTAGTCGTCCGGGAGTGGCTTCACTCGGGCTGGCATCACAGCGAGGAGTGCAGCGGCCGGCGAGGTCATGAGTCGAGCACGGTCAGCAGGCCGGCGGGCAGCAGCGCGTCCTGTCGGGAGCCCTCCTGCATCTGGCGGGCCAGCTGCGCGCAGCCGAGGTTGGCGTCCCCCAGCTCGGGGATGGCGTCCAGCAGCGCCAGGCACTCGTCCTCCACCGCCCGGCGCGCCTTCTTCCCTATCCACGAGTCGTCGCACTCCTCCCTCGCGCGCCTCCTCCGCGCCTCCTTCTCCCTCCTCGCCTCCTCGCTCAGCCTGCAGTACGTGTTGTTGATGCACACCGACCGCCGCAGATCTCGTGCGGGGTCCTCAATGTTCTCCAGTTTCTGTGAGCAGATCTCGATGACTCGTTTCCGTTCCTCGTTGGCGCGCAGCCTGGCAGATATCATGGACAGCTTGGGCCTGGCCGCGGGTTCAGTCCTCGGCGGGCCGAACATGTCGTCTTCGAAGGCGTCCGCTATCTCCGCCCCGCGAGCGCTCTCACGCTCCTCTTGAGGCGTCATTCTGTAACAATGGACGCGTTACGTTATATTAAATATATTCGGTACGATCACACAGCTGTTGATACGGCTAGATTGTGAAGGCTACGATACGCGTACACACATTTTTATCTATATCTCTAAATGTCATTAACCGAACTTGAAACCGAGGCGTCGAAAATGTAAAAGTTGTCGCGACCATAAACGTTCGTTAAAAGGGATCGCTGATCACGAACCATTTTATAAACAGAGTCTGCGAGCACTAGGTCAAAGAACAATGCCTCGATGCCTAAACGGGCCAATAAGATTCACACTTAATAAATTCCGTCCCCAAACGTAATAAACATGAGAGCGATCGTGAAACGGAGTTAACACTATTTAAATATGTTGACCTATAATGATTATTTTAGTAATAACGTACCTCAGGGACGGAGAGAGGATGAAAAATCCGGACATATACATCACTGACAATTAATATAATCCGATAATAGGTTCACGATAAGTATCACAAGTCAATACACTGGCACCGAAAGAGCGCTGACGGTCGGCCCCACGTCCGCGGTGAACGGCTGTGAGCCAACTGACAAGTGTAACAATAGACAGAGAGGGAGCCTCGGGTGCGTCCGCGCAGCACGACGGTCGCCGCGAGAATGACACTACCACACGATGTAGATAAGACATTGAAAAAGACCATTGCGTCACCCGTGCCGCTACGTACATGAGAACTAGCGGGTGACGTACTATATGAACCGTCATTTAGACGATATTGACTCTCATGACTCGCTGTATTTGTTTACGACAAACCCACCGACGACTAATCGGTTGAAAAGGGCAAAACCCGAACAGAACTACCGAAATAACAAAAAGAATTACCAAACAATACGGCCCGCCGCGCCGTACAGTTGAGATGATAAACTACAAGTTTGAACAAACGCTAAACTAGAGGAAAACGTACACTTTGACGTACCTATAAATGACACATTTTGATTAAACTATGACAACTATATTAACGGTTACATATCCTTATATGGAACGGAATTATGACTAAACTCTAAAATGGTTGCATAATAATTTTATTAAAAGTACTTTATTCAGTTGTAACATATTTCTTATAATGGCGACATTGAAGAGGATGAAGAACGGGAAAAAATAAAATAATTTAACTAAGGTCACATTTTAACGTGACCTTCATTACGATCGGAAGCCATTATGTATCAAGCACGTATTTTGTATTACGAAACTATTGCTATAAATCGAATTGTCTGAAGAAACAAAGGTACAAACTATAAAGAACAAAAAGAATCTAAATTCAAATTTACTGATGGCAGGTGAGAAAAATTTAAAAAAAAAGTATTTAATACGTAATTCCAAATTCAAATTTGATTGTTCTGTCCGGAGTGTACAGTACAGATCAGTGTGTCTAGTGGAGCGGTTGTACACGGAGTCAGCTCGCCGCCGCTCCGTCGCGACCCCGGTTACGATCTAATAAATCTTGTTTCCACTCGCTCGAGGCTACAACTACCTGCACTTTCTTTTCTGTCCCACACGCGGTGACATCCGAACGAACGTTTCATTATTAACATATTTTATTAACGCTTTCTTCGTTCAACGCATTATTTGAGATATATATTTAAATGTATTATTTTTTCAGTATAGCGACAATATTTTCAATAGACCCGCCATTGTTCTCCTCATTCGTGATATCGACTGTACAGTTATACATGAGGCAGACTGTACGCAATTGTTAGTATTATAAAATAATATTGAATCGTGGCGCGTTATTCGCTCAGATTGTTCTGGTTTTCGGTACAACGACCGAGCGACCCTTACGTCCGAATTTTGTCGAATGGTAATGGCGTATACTTTGAACGCTGACTGATTCATGGACAGCTTCTTTAATAAACATATTAAATACGAATGTTATTTAAAAACAACTATTCATTATATTGTATTCAAATGAAAAATATATGGATATTACTTTATTATTGGTAGTCCATTTAAATTATTCCTTAGTAAGGGCGTGTTATATTCAGTAGTTTTAACCCTGGAGGCCTTGTAGTTAGTGGCACATTCTTGAAAGAGGTCTCACATGTGATTGATCGCGGAATGTAGGCGTGAAACGGTACAGAGAACAGTAATAGACGGGGGCCTCATAATAAAAACATACATTTTGTTATAACAAGGACAATAAAATGTTTTATTACACTATTGTACTAAATATGCACATTCAAATAACTAAGTACTGGTTTTCACTTATAAAAAGTGAAGCAACTCTTCTATGGTACATATTACTAATGTATTCTAAATTTAAAAGCTGACGTTCCGATCACATAACAGCAACATCGCTCGCGGCGAATTACGTCTAAATAATGTAGAATATACTAAGGGAAATCTTCTAAGACATATATATAAAAGGTCATGGTTTTCATACGAATTACACATAAATAAGTTATTGTTGGTAAACTTCTGTTAATAATAAAGCGAGAGTGGGCAGCAACGTTACAACCTACGTTCATGATCAAACATTTTAAAAACTTTCATTTCAAAAATTCAAATTTCGAATCCGTTTACTTTATTTTTTTTTTAATCGCGAATCGTTTTCAAAGCCAATGAATACATTAGAATTATTAATTGGTATTCATTAGATAAGTTCATCGTGTGTGTAGTTTTTCGTTTTAATATTTATAAGGAACGCACGCACAAGGCTATTAAGAGCTTATCAATCGGTATCGATGGAGTTAGTTATGTAATCTGTACGGTACACAATCTTAGGCCAATATTGTTTTTCATACATTAAAACCTTCATTTAAATTACTTGGAAGTTTAAAAGCCTTTACTTTAATCATATATTTCCCAATTTTATTATCGAAGGACGCAATATTTTTTATCTGTATCTAGAAGAACACATTGCCTAATCTTTACTAACTTAAAATTCATTTAATATATATATTTGTTTTAATTATCTTACTAAACTTACAGGACAATATTACCGTTAAATTGTAACCGTACGAAATGACTGTATCACTTATATTATAACACGCAATTTATTAAGTGTTGTTATCAAAAATTAACATACAATGTCGCATATAGCTTGCTGCTTGTGTACTAGAACGTATAAAGTTAGTACAACGAAACATACAATGGACAGGGTCCGTTGGATAAATCACTCTTAATAGCATCGCAGCCCCTCTAGAGTTATTGACTGCGTATATTACTTAATTTATTGCGGAAAAAAAATTATTTTAACATCTATAATTATAGAAGACTATTATTAGAATATTTCAATGTATTCATTAGATATTATGTAACATATGTACAGTTAAATTACACTTTTTACTACTATTGTTTTACTACTGTAGTTTTTATATTTGAATTTATTCTATAAAGCTTTTATATGAAGATAGAAGAACTAGTAACAGATAATAAAGTTAACTAATTGAATATGGCGGTGATTGGCGACAGGCGTGGTCATTATAGCATCTAAATTTATTATAGCTACCTAGTTATAAAAAAAATTAAACCATTACGCGTACTAATGAAACGATTATTTTCATATTAATATATATGATACTTGTGAATTAGTGTTTGAACATTTACATACAAAGTTTTGAGAACAAATATTCTCTTTATCTACGAATCGAGTGTTAGTGACGCGTTTTAAAGGAAAACTCGTTCGTGGAAACTGATTTCCTTAATAAAAATCACGTACACATTTCACAGACTCGTATCCAAGGCTTTGATTAACGCTAATGATGATTATATAAGTAGATCGCTGTGGGCCTCATTAATATTGTTTCCGCAAATTTATATTAGTGACATCACTATACGATATTAAAATTTTTAAATCAAGCCACGTATAAAGATACTAAACCGTAGCTAATTGTATTTCAATGAAGTCATTTTTTGTTTTCTATATTTCAAATCGTTCCAAAATAACCGTCCGCACATTTAAAATCCCTACTTTAATGGGAACCGCATGCTTTTATGAGTGTGAAAGAGAGAGATGTATGACAATTACTCAGGTAGAAATTGACAAACGCGGTACGAAAATAATAATCCTTACATTTGATGCTAGTAACATCTTTGTTAAAAAGTTAAAAGAAACTTGTTTAGAGCCACATACTGGACCATAAAGTGTTTTATGAGATCGTTCAAAACTGAATCCATTCGCGTTGGTTATTAGAAGTTATATTAAAAGGGCTTAGGTCAAGAGTAGGCGGCTCATACGAGGGAACGTTCAACAAATAAATTTATATATAATTAATACGTATATATAATAAATTAATTAATTATACGATACTACCAAAAAAATAATTTAATAAAAAAAATATAAGTAAAAAAATTAGATTGTAAAAAAGTTACCAATTAAAATTTAAATGATAGCACACGTACGCATGTTTCACAACGAAATAATCTTAAAATTACAATTAAAACCACAAGTTACCTTATATAAATCACAAAGAAAACTCCAATATAACACGATAACACTAGTGTCTAGTTAGTTGTAAAAGCACTCATTTATTTATAAATGCGTTTAATTCGAACATAATTCCGAGTCGAACGAGTTGTATCACACAAGACAATCAACTTCACACTTGTCCAAATAGCGGTTTTACATAGCTGGTGGCTGGTCGAGCGACGTCTTTACGTTTCGAGTTCGCGCGCTAAACTGGCGTGGTAGTAGGGGTTACTGGTAGGGCCTTTCGTCGACCGTCCGCGGGCGGCCTAGCGGCGCTACTGACTACTGACTACTAACTCCTCGTGTTTCAAATACGAGCCCTAGAGGGCGCAGGAACACCCCGAACCTTGTACACTATGGTACATACCTTATATTTACTGTAAGCCATCCTTTAATCATCTTTATTTATAGGGATGCGACCTTTTGATATATCATACGGTAGATTAAATTTAAATTTTATAAAATTATTTTCTCATATTAATAGTATATTAGTAATTTATTTGTATCTGTTTTTATTTGAATTTCTTAACGGATCTTCCAACTAATTAACATTAAGTAAACTGAA